ATACCCATGAACAAGTATCATTTCACACATGAGCGGAATATGTGTACATTCAATTTCCAGAAGAAAAACTGGTGGTTCAAAGGGTATATGTATTTGTAATTTTAATACATATTGTCAAATTGCTTCCCATAGAGATTTTACCATTTTGCATGCCCAACAGGAAAGCAGGAGAATGCTGTTTCCTCACAACATTGCCAACACAAAAATAAAACTTTTTGATTTTTGGCATTATGGGTAACACATGGTACATAAGTATAGATTTAATTCGCCTTTTTCTTATAGGTGACATTGAACACCTTTATGTATGTTTGAGTCATTTGTCTCTCCTGTGAACTGTTTCTAGCCTTTGCTACTCTTTTTTTTTTTTTTTGGTTGTTGTCCTTTTCTTATTAATTTCTAGGAGTTCTTCGTATAATAGATTTGTTCTTTGTGATATAAAGTAAAAATATTTTTCCACTTTGTCATTTGGCTTTTAACATTTTTTGTGATGCAGATGCTTTTGTTCGTTGAATTCATTAATCTTTTTATGGCTTCAAGCTTTTGAGTCATAACTAGAAAGGTTTTCCAGCTTGGTGATTAAAGAGGGCTCGAGGTAACATGAGACAAGAGACTTACATGAGACAGTTTGAGGAAAAGAAAGAAGCATAGTGAGGTGAGCTCAGCTCTAGGCAGAGATAGTACTTGACTGCAGCGGTGACTTTTGTATAAATTAATAGACTTGATTTCTGCAAACACCAAATCAGTGTTTTGTGTTCATTCTTTCTTTTGATATCCCAAATTTATTTATTAGGATTTCATCCATAAGTCTTGGCTGTAATATCTCTCTAGTTAGAGAGTCCTTTCTATGACTATTTTTTATTAATCAGAAGATATTGGAGAACTACTTTATAATTAAAAATTTTTAAAAATAAATTAGAAAAAGGAAGAGGAAGCATTATAAAATAAAAGGGACTTAAGACATATAACCACATTTTTGGAGCTTGCTTAGATTGTGATTCAAACAACCAACTATAAAATAACATTTGGGGGCCAGTTGGTATAATTTGAATGTGGACTGGGTATTAATTTATCTTATGGCATCATTATTCATTATTTAGGCAAGGTAATGGCATGGTGGTGATGTTATTTTTTAGGTAGACTTTATCAGTGAGAGATGTACACTGAAGTATTTAAGGGTAAAATGTTATGATGTGGGATTTGCTTTAAAACATTTCCGGGGGGGGCCGGCCCCGTGGCTTAGCGGTTAAGTGCGTGCGCTCCGCTGCTGGCGGCCCGGGTTCGGATCCTGGGCGCGCACCAACGCACCGCTTCTCTGGCCATGCTGAGGCCGCATCCCACATACTAGAAGGATGTGCAGCTATGACATACAACTATCTACTGGGGCTTTGGGGGAAAAAAAAAAAAAAAAACATTTTGGGGGAAAAAGTGGTGGGGGGGGGTGTGGTATAGATGTAATTGTATTGATAAAATATTGGTCATTGTTGAAGCTAAGTGATGGACACATGGAGTTCATTATTCTCTTCTTTCTGCTTTCTGTGTGTGTTTGAAAATTTCCATAATGAAAAGTTTAAAAAGACGAAATATAAAATTAACATATAGTTATTGTAGAAAACTTTGAAAAAGAGAGAAAAGCTCAAAGAAAAAACGAACATAATCCCACTAGCCAGAGGTCTCTGCTGTTAACATTTATATCCTTCTAATCTTTTTCCCATGTATAAATATGTGTATATACATTAATTTAAAAAAAAAAGAATACTGAAGTCATTCAATATCTAAATTTTCTAAGTTGGTATGTTAACCTTCCGGTATATCATGAATAATAGTTGTCAACATCATTTTGGTGGTTTCACAGCATTTCAATATATAGATGTATCACAATTTATTTAATTATTTCACTGTTATTGGGCATTTAGATTGTTTGTTATTTTCACCACTGTAAACATGAGCATTCTTGTGGGTAAACGATTGTTCGTATACCGTTCTTTAGGCTACATTCCTAGAAATGGAATCATTGGGTCAGAGGGTATGTACAGTGTACAATTTGTAACATATTGCAAGTGACCCTTCGGAAAGGTGGTACCATTTTGTACCTGCACCAGCAGTAAATGGGAATGCCTGTTTTTCCGTATTTGCAAAGCCAGAAGACAGACTAGTTTGGACCAGTAATGAATACACCAGAGTGATGAAGTGTAGTTGTTGCACAGAGGCATCTCTGGTTTTTACACTGGGTGCGTTATTGCCAGGATATGGTAGGGGAAGGTGGGGTTAGTTGCAGTGGGCATCGGCGTGGTCACATAAGCTTCTGTTGTATTGGCGAAGGGGGCTGTGGGCTTAAGGAATATCCCAGTGTCTGGTCCTGCGGGGGAATCCTCGATCTGGCTGTGAAGCCTATGGCTTCAGATCACTAGCATATATCATGCCAGTTATTCTCTAGGTTTTACAGTTTCCATGGCTTCTCTTGGACAGTTTTGAGGGTGGCTTGGCTTACATTTCAGTGTGGTGGTTTCTTCACCTATGCATGCTTTTGGGTAAGATCACCGGGAAGGTCTCTTTTTGCATCATCTTTGAAGACCAGCTTACCTTTCAGTACTATCAGCCTTGTTTCAATGCCTTTTGGTTTATCTTGGCTTTGTGGTTTGGCGATCAATCTTGTTTATTGCAAAATCTGCAGTGTGTTTACATTTTGTGAGTTTCATACAACAGCTGTTTAACATTTATCCAGGAACTGCTAATTTATGTTTATGTCTATGTTTGTATAGTTCTGTAGTCCCTGTTATTGCCTTGTTCTGTTCCATCAGTCAGTGATCGCTCAGGCTATCAGAGGACAGGACCCTGAAACTACCTTTTTGAACTTAATTGTCTTTGTGTTATTTTGTATTAACCAAACTTTCATCAATTTGACACACATCCCTGAAGAGTATCTGAAACCTGCCATCTTCTCAGAATAGTCAAATACGGCTTAGCCACCATGGACTTCCCATCTGGCACATGAACATTTGTAAAAGTGAAAGGAATGATTATAAGCACACCCCCTTCCCATAGTCACTTATTGTTATGTCACATGACTGCCACCTTGTGCAAAGCTTAAAATAGAATGTATAGGAATCCCCAAATTACAGAGCTATCATTCAGAGAGAAACTGATTTTAGTAATCATTTTTTGAATGTATTTGATGTGGATTTTTTTCTTTTTAAAATGTAAATTTGCCTGAAGGTCTCTTTTGGGGCTTGCCCTGAATCTTCCCCATTTACCCACTGTTTCTGAGCCCTCACTGTGGGCCTGGCTAGATGCTGCAGGATAGCTCGGAAGGAAGAAACCTAATGTTTTGTGAGCGTCTGAAATGTGTCACAAACTGTTTGAGGCACTTTTTCTTCTTTATTTCATTTACACCTCAAAATAATATTGAGGTGGTACTATTATCTGCATTTTAAGGAGAGAAAAATAGGTGGATTTTGAAAAGTTTAGCAGCTTGCCTGAGATCTCACAGTGAAGAAGTGGCAGCCTGAAGTGCCACTGAAGAAGTGGCAGCTCCCTGACGTCGGGAGCTGTGAGTCACTCTGGAGTGGAGATGGCTGGAGGGCAGCTGGCTGCCAGTGGGACAAGGAAAATCTTGAATCTGAGCACTTTGTGTCAGCGTTAGGAATAAGCCAACAAATGTCAGGTTGGGGGGATTGCCTGTTGTCCTTGTTCCAGGACCAATCATAATTAGACATGCCTCGCCTTGCTCAATAAAGCTGTCTTCTGATTCTTTTTTATTATTGCAGTATGATGGAAATTGTAGGGCACTGAAAAAGTAAAAATGGGCTAAGAAGGTTTTAGTGCCTTTTACTCCTCCCTATGTTACCTTCCTAGGGCTGCGGTAACAAAGTACCAAAAACTGGGTGACTTAGAACGACAGAAATGTATTGTCTCACGGTTCTGGAGGCTGGAGGCTGTTGGCAGCGTTGGTTCCTCTGAGGCTGTCAGGGAGAATCTGTCCCTTGTCTCTCTCCTAACTTCTGGTGGTTTGCTGGCCGTCTTTGGTGTTCTTGGCTTATGGATGCATCACTGATCTCTGCCTTCACCTTTACATGGCTTTCTTCTTGTGTGTATGTCAGTGGCCCAATTTTCCCCCTTTTTAAGGACACCGGTCATTTTGGATTAGGGGCCACCCTATTATCTCATTTTAACTTGATTACCTCTGTAAAGACCCTATCTCCAAATAAAGACACATTCTGAGGTCCTGGGGATTAGGACTCCAACATATCTTTTGTGGAGGGACACAATTCAACCCAATACACCCCCATTACACATAGTGCCAGACAGTACCCACAGCGCTCCTGGGCTCAGCTTGAGGTGGTGGCCGTTCTCCAGGTGGCCCAGTGCCTCAATGCAGCTTTGTTGGTTTTGGAGTCAGTTGACAGGGCTACCCACAGCCAAGTCTCTGCCGGCCAAGCAGGGTGGGAGTGGGAAAAGAACAGATTCTGAGCTTTTTATTACTTTATTGGTGCAGAAATTATGAGCCCTTAGTGACATCTAGTAATAATTGTTTTCCCTTATTTGAGACATTGAGAGATAAGCTTCCTCTTATTCTTTTATAACAACAAAGAAAGCAAGCAAGCATGATTTCTAGACAAAAAGCAGCGTTAAGCAGGGAATTTGTGATCTTCAAAGTTATCCCTTCTCACAGCCAACAGCCATTCTCTGGGAAGCACACAGTCTTTAGCATACCTTGCTTGAGAACAATAGACATTAGTCATAGTCTGTTAATTCTGCCTGTTTCCCATGAGAAGGAGAATGTGTTCCAAGGCGCTGTCAGGGAGTTTAAGACTCTGCGTTTGAGCTTTTCCTAAGGATCTTCTGTAACACCAAGGGAGGCATCCTGGGCAACTTCAAAAGGGGGTCTTTTTAGTTTATCAGGCCCTTTGCCCCTGAGTGTTCGAGTCTTTGGGGCGGGGGAGTGAGTGGTAGAGCTGCGGCCAGAGCTGTTCTCACTGGGCACGTGTGTGTGTGTTGTGCAGACACCAGCTGGAGACGCCGGGACATTACTCTCATCTGGCTGCGTTCTATGAGGACAAGAAAGGGGTGCTCCATGCTGGTCCCGGGAGAGGCGGCAGCCTGCCCCCTGTCTACTGGCTGCCTTCCATCCACCGATACATGTACCCTGAGATGAAGGTGAGGCCAGCCGTACTCTCACACCGTCCTGGACTTGTGTCTGGGTACAGTAGTTGTTGATTATTTTTTTAATTAACAGGGAATTTATGTCTTAGGCTCATACCCAACGTCTGGTTTTGATAGGATAGGATTGTAACCTAAGCATTTGGGTTCTTTTAAAACATAAGGCAAGTTGTCTTAATATGCTTTCTAGATACTTCAATAATCATGGTGCAAAGCCATATTGATAGGCCAGTTGTGGTAAACTTGTAGGGGGGAAGAGGTGGATTTGATTCTGTTGATTGCTTCAGATATTTTAAAGCCACATACTTGAACTAAAGATGAGTTCCTCCTCCCCCGGACACAAGATACGTCAGTGGAAACCTCAGGCTCCGTGATAGAGAAATTACACCATGAGTTTAAGGGAGAACTCTGGGAAGGCAGCTTGGAAGAGAAGTTGCTTCCTGAAGTATTTGGCTAGGCAGAAAGTGAGGGATGCTAATTCCAGATGGAGGGAAGGCATGAGCAGAGGTGGGAGCCACGGTCTGTCACTTTTCCCAGCACCTTCTGTGAGTTAGGCATTCTGCTCTTTATCTGTACCTATTGCAGGATTCTTAAAAGCAAATGCTTTTTTAATCCCTATTTTACAGAAAAACCAGCTGAGGTTTATAGAGGTTCACTGACTTGCTTACGGCCTTATAGCCAGTAGGAGGTAGAGCCAGGATTTAAACACAGGGCTGGTGCTGAGGCCAATGAGCACTCCTACCCCACTCCACTGCCTTTGTGGAGAGGTGGATGTGAGAAGGCACGAGGCAGGTTCACGGGACGTGAGCAGACTAGTTTGGGATTGACTTGTTATGTCAGGGGCCAGGAGAGAAAAGGTTAGAAAAATAGGTTGGAATCAGATCGTAGAGAACCTTAAATACTAGGCCAGGGGATACTAACCCTAATAAGTACCAGTTAGGGTCTTGTCAGGAAAACGCAAACTGTGTTAGATATTCTAAAATAATTCAATACAGGGAATCAGTAACATGGTAATTGGAAGACTGAAGGAGCAAAAAGGAAACGAGGTAATCTATATATTAGTAAATACAGATAGTGGCTTCTAGCCTATTATTAGTTATCTGTTGCTGCATTACAAATTACCCCCAAGTTAATGGTTTGAAACAGTACCTATTTGTTATCTCACAGTTTCTGTGAGTCAGGGATCCAGGCACAGCTTAGCTGGGTCCTCTGCTTCATGTCTTTCATGAGACTGCAGTCAGGGTGTCAGCCAGGGTTGGGGTCTGGTCTGAAGGCTCAACTGGGGAAGTATCCACTTCTGAGCTCATGTCGTTGTTGGGAGGATTGAGTTCCTGGAGGACAGCTGGACTGAGAGCCTCAGTACCTTGCTGGCTGTTTGTCACCCTCAGTTCGTAGCTATGTGGGTCTCTCCAACATGGTAACTTGTTTCATCAAAGCCAGCAAGTGAAAAGTCTGCGGGAAAGATGGAAGTTAAAATCCTTTGTAACCTAACCATGGAAGTTACAGCCCCACAATGTTGCCATATTCTGTTGGTTAGAGGCAAGTTACTCAAGAGGAAGAGGGGATTACATAAGGCTGTAAATACCAAGAGGTGGGGATCACTGGGGGCTCTTAGAGGCTGCCTGCCACACACTCCAGGGCTGGGGTGACAAGGAGAGAGAGGTGACATTATCAAAATGACAGGAGCTTGGAGGAGGGGCCCTGCGCAGCCGTGTCTCAGCTTGCTTAGAAAGGCACACTGTGCACCTGATGATGCTGGACCCTCTGAGGGGTGGGGCTTGGCTGGGGCTAGGGCAGCTGGGAGAAGCTGGAGGCTAGAAACTGAAGAGAATTCCTTCTCCCCTCCTCTTGCCTTCTAGTCTGCAGTCATTGCCCCCCACTGGGAGAACCTCACAAGAAGCCAGCTGGCATGGGAGCCCAGGAAATGTAGTTGGAAGATTTCCCAGCCCCATGGCCTGTGCTGAGAGGCAATAATTAAGAAGCGGTCAGAGGGTTATTAGGGCGATTCTGGGCTTGTGTTGACCAAACCATGCTCTGTCTCTCCACTCCTAACTCGGACCCATTTTTTCCCTCTGAGTCAAATTGCTGGTGGGCTAAGTCCAAACCCACAGGGAGCTGACCAGCCCCTGACCTGGGCGTCCCTGGACTCCTCTCCCCAAGAGGCCAAGAAGGAGAGACAGAGGGCGAAAAAGTAAAATTGCCCTCTGCTTTTGCCTTATTGAGGACAGCTCTTTAGCATAAATGCTAAACCCTAGGATATGCAGGGAAAAGGATACTTTATTAGGCTGCAGATAGAAATGTGAACAGTCTTTTTAAAAAAAAAGTTGTTAGCACTTCTTAAAATTAAAAATACATGTACCCTTTGATCCAGCAATCCCACTTGTTAGGATCTATCCTTTATCTATAAACCACCAGAGTTTCACGATGTCTGTATAAGAATGTTTAATTCAGCATTGTTCAGAGTGGTAAAAAATTAGAATGCCCCGTATGTTATATGGCCACAATGAATATGAATTAGAACATAAGTAGTTGACATGGAATCTCTACCAGGAAGTATTTTTGTGTGAGAATAACAAAGTGCAGAAAACTATATATGGTATGATTACACTTTTGTAAAATAATTACAACCTTGAGTGTAGATAGAGGTAGATACACAAACATGCATCCACGAACATTGGAAAATAGGGATGGGTGTATACTAGGTTATTAACACATCTTTTACCTGGGGGTGAGGTAAGGTACGGAGGGACAATGATTTATATGTGTAAAAAAAAAAAAAAGGAAGGGCTGGGGAAAAAAATGATAGCACTAAAAAAATGGTATATATGAATGATTCCATTGGTCATTTATGGAATATCACATGTATGTACATATAAAGAAATTTCTATGTAAGCTTTCTATTGAAATATAATATTTGTAGCAACAAGTTAAAAAACCGTAGGTATATAGTTCAGTGAATTTTCACAAAGTGAACACGTATAAAGAAAATTTTAAAATGAGTAAAGTTTTAAAGTGGGGGTCAAATCTGAGACTATTGCAGACAAAAAAACCTGGAGACGGGGAGGAAGGAAGGATGACAGCCTCTCTGAGAGGCCCAACAATGGCTGGTAAATGCTCCCCCAGAGAAATGGGAAAGTGGGGGAGAGACAAGGGTGGGGTGGAGCCCCAGGAGCAGATGGATTCCCAGGAAGCGGGGGCAGGTGGAAGACGAGGGATGAAGAGTGAACCCGAGGGGCTTGCCAGCAATGGTTGGGGAGTAAGAAGAGGATAGACGACCTGACATGAAAAGTGGGTGCGGAAATAAAGGTCAGAACTGTGCACGTCAGGAAAAGTTTTCTGTAAAAGCTACAGCAGGACAAGGCTGCGCAAGGAGAAATTGATTTCAATGAAAGCTGGGGAAGTGTCTGTTGCATCCTACAGTTGGATGGGTCAAGTGTGGGAGGGGTGCAATCTTTACAGCTGACTCTTTCAGAAGATAGTAGGTTTGCCTCATTGTGGCTACTTTCCTGGCATAGGCCCAGCACCCCAACTACTTGTGGTTCCAGGAAGTGGCATGTTGTCTCTTGTCTCTGGGCTTTTGCACATGCTGGTTCCTCAGCCAAGAACACTGTCCCTCCATGTGACCCCTTATGTCAAAGCTGACATCACTGCCCCCAGGAAGTCTTCTCCATCAGAATTGGGTCAGGCACACTCCTACAGCCCCCTGCCCTTCTCCCATCACGGCTCTCAGGCTGGGGTTTAATTACTTGTGCACCTGTTTCTCCCACTAGCCTATAAACTATACGAGGGCAGGGCCTGGGTCTCTTTGTTCATTGTTGGAACTTGACGGCTTAGCACAGTGTTTGGCGAAAATTAAGCAGGTGAGAAATATTTCTTGCATGAATGCATCCATGCATCTATGAATGAATGAATAAATAAGATCAGAATGCAGGGTTGAGCATTCGTTCTAGGGTTCTAGGGCCCGGGACACATTTGGACAAAACCCTGCCAGGCCTTCATGCAGTAGAAGCACGTGTGCAGGGCTTGAAGATTACAGAGGGGCAGCGAGGAAGAGCCTGAATGGGCAGTGGCTCCCTTTCCTACCTCCCTGCGGTTTGACTTTCATGAAAGATTGTGATTGGAGGGATCTGACCAGAGATGGTTGCTCGGTGCCTCTTCTCCTGGAGATTTGGAATGCAGTGGCAGAGGAGTAGGCGGAGGGGCACAGACAGGGACCCTCAGCGCATGGCAGCCTTGCTGCTGGCATGGGGCAGGTGAAAGGCCCCAGTGCAGGGGCAATGCCGGGAAAGGGAAGTCCTCTCCCAGGTGGTCCAGAGGGCCGCAGCCTGGCAGAGCGCCGAGGCCCAGGGCTGCCTCAAGGCTCAGGTGTGGGTACCTCTGAGGCCTCCCAGGTGTTAAACCCAGCAGGCGGCCTTGGTGTCGGCATGCTCTCACCTGCATCCCTAATGGGCGCAAGCACTGTTCCGACACTTTAGCGTGGAAGTGACCTTCCAAAACGCAAGGCACCTGGCTTGAAGCCTTTGTTTCATCAGTGACAGTAGTGGCTGCTGCCTCAGGGCCATTCCTACATGCTAAGTATTTCATGTTTATCCTCAGGTGGTCCTTCTAGCCATGTGAGGGATGCGATGGTCTCTACATTTTACAGATGAGGAAAGTGAACCAGAAACATTGGCCAACTTTCCTGAGGCCGCCCTGTTGGTAAATGGCAGAGCCAGCACTGGAGTTCAGCTTTTCTTGGATCAGAGGTCATGCCCTTAACCCCTAGGACATCCCTTGGCCCAAGACTCCTAGGAGGCAGCCTCAGGGTTGCAGGCTCCTGCGTTCAGCATGGAAGGAAGGTGGTTGGAGTTGAAGTGAGTGGGTTATCGTGCCTGTAGACCCCATGGGGGCTTCTATTGTAACCTGTGCAGACACCTCGCCTCGCATAGTAGCCGGGTCCCTGTACATTTGGGATCTAATCTGGGGCTGTTCGCTCATCATTTTGTTCCTTCCAATGCTCAGTAATGTTTTTGAATTGAAATTTTCTCACTGAGATGTACTGTCACTTCAGAGATGCTCTTGTTTCTGACTTTTAAGAAGTTATGTTCAGTTTCTTCCCTTTGCACCTCTCTCCCGAGTGAAGTAGTTTATGGTCCCTAAACTCAAACTTCACTGTATCAGGGGAGCTGCTGAATTACAGAAATCTAGGTTAAAGGTAAGACTTTTAAAGTGAAAAATCTCTTTTTGTATGGAAGTAACCATCCCTTAACATAGCTGTTTGGTTGTACTTTGGATTGTTTTTTTGGTGGGGGGGGATGGTTAACACACACCTGTACTGAATATTTTTTGCAATGATGTTTCTAACAAGCTGTTCCTCCTCCACCCCCTTTCTGTTTTTCCAGATCACACACCCAGCTGGCTGCATGTCTCAGTTTATTAAGTTCTTTGGAGAACAGATCCTCATCCTTTGGAAATTTGCCTTACTTCGAAAGCGCATTTTGATATTTTCTCCGCCTCCTGTGGGTGTCGTATGCTATCGAGGTAACTAGAAGCCAGAGTTAGGGGTTCTTCCTGAGTTCCCTGGAACAGAAACTGCTTGAGTCTTTCCGTTGTTGACCAAGCTCAGAAGAGTCTGGGCTATTATCAAAGGGATCAGGGGTTCTAAGCCTGGGAGTGACAGGGTTGGATTTGTGTGTTAGAGTGTAGATGCTGGTGGCAATACAGAAGCTTGATCGGGGGACAGATCAGTAGTCTGGCGAGAGATAAGGGACTGGATGAAAGCAGAGGAGATGGAGTCTAGATGTATTTCAGAGATAAACTTGACAAAATCTGGTGTCTGTTTGTGTTGTAAGATTCTGGTGTGTGTTGGGCCGGCCCCATGGCTTAGTGGTTAAGTGCATGTGCTCCGCTCCTGGCGGCCCGGGTTCAGATCCCGGGCGTGCACCAACGCACCGCTGCTCCGGCCATGCTGAGGCCACGTCCCACACACAGCAACTAGAAGGCTGTGCATCTATGACATACAACTATCTACTGGGGCTTTGGGGGGAAAAAATAAATAAATAAAAATTAAAAAAAAAAAAGATTCTGGTGTGTGAAGTAATGGAGGAAGAGTCTAGGATGACGGGACTGAGGAGGAGTAGGTGGGGGGGTGTGATAAGTTAACTTTGGACACAGTGAGTGTGTACTGCCTGTGAGGCCTTCACAAGATGTACACCAGACACTGCTATGTTGGGTCAGGACCTTGGGGAGAAAGTTGGGCTGGAGATCAAGATTTGAAAGTGACATATAGATGGTGCCCATAACCATGGGATGGATGGCATCACGTGGGGAGAGAGTGAGTGAGGAGAGGCGTGCCAGTGTTTTGCAGGCACAGGAGGCAAACAATAAAGGTGGAACACAGAGGAGACTGAGGTGGAAGAGTTAAAAGAAGGGAGGGAACCAGAAGATGCACGGGTTACAGTAGGCAAGAGTTATGAGGAGGAGGAAGGTCAGCAGTGCCAAACCCTAAGCAAGACCAGGTGAAGTGGAGACTGAAACATGCCCATGTCCATTGGATTCGGTAAGACATTGTTGGTGTGACCTTGAGGAGGTCAGATTCTGTTGTGGGACCTGAAAGGCTGGTCCCCACACCCCGTATCCTCAGAATGCCAGGACCACCTGGTTACCCAGGTACCGGAACAGCACAAAGCAAAGCCCGCAGCAGAGTCCTTGGAGGCTGACTACTCAGAGAAGTGGCCAGCAGGCTTCGTGGGAGGAGGGGACTGGGAGGGCAGACTCTTCTCCTCTGACGTCCTGTGTCCCCCACAGTGTACTGCTGCTGCTGCCTGGCCAACGTCTCCCTGCCTGGCATCGGGGGCACCATCCCTGAGTCCAAGCCTTTCTTCTATGTGAACGTGGCCGACATCGAGAGCCTGGAGGTAGAGGTGTCCTATGTGGCCTGTGAGTACAGGGCCCTCCCCGCATCCTGCCCCCATGTCCCTGCCCCAGGTACCTTTGACGGCTCTGCTGGGAGCCGTGCTCTGGCCTCCCAGCTCCCCAAGGGCCCGTCTCCTCCTCCTCTCAGATGCGGGACTCCTGGACCCCTTGTTTCCCCGGTGGGGTCAGGCTGGTGCCCTTCAGTGACAGCCTCCAGGTTCCTGCCTCCTGAGCCTCGGGTCTCACAGGCACCACAGAGAAGATTTTCGAGGAGAAGCGGGAACTGTATGATGTCTATGTGGATAACCAGAACGTGAAGACGCACCATGACCACCTGCAGCCCCTGCTGAAGATCAACAGTGCCGACCGGGAGAAGTACCGGCGGCTCAACGAGCAGAGGTAGGGGGACCCCAAGCCTGGCACGTGTGTGCCCACGAGTGGTGGTGGGTACAGCCGAGGCCTGCACACACTCTGAGAGAGATGTCCCCAGGGTGCTGCCCGTCTCAGGAGAGCTGGCGGGGGAGGGGTCTCTCTGTAAAGCCCATCCTGCCTCCCCTTCCCTCGCAGCACGTTGCTGCCAGTTGGTGTGCTGCCTGGGAGATGGGAAATGAAGAGAAGCTGTGCATTGAAGAAGCCGGGCTTCCAGTATATCGTCCTGACAAGAGGGTAGTAAACGTGTGTGGGGCCACTTCTTTCTGATGAAGCCCAAGGAAGAGAACAGGCATTTATTGAGCACCTATGTTGTTTGGTTCACTGTACTGAGAACTTGCTTATGCATTATCTCGTGTAATTCTCAATATTTTGGTTATCCTGTGAGATAAAGGGTATTGTTTGGTATCAATGGTGAAATAAATGGTGTCATCATCATACCTGTGGGCAATTGGGAAAGATTGTCTCTTGCCTGAGATTACTGTACACAGGCGCAGAACTGGCGTTAGACCCCAGGGGTTTGACTCCAAGCCCTGTTTACTCCTTCCTGTCCCTTCTCTCCCTGCCTTTGGCCTGGGGGGCCTGCTCTGGGCCACCCTCCTCCCTAGGAGATGCTGGCCTGTTGCGGATGCCTGACCGAGGACCAGGCCTATGACTGGGGTCCTTGTAGTTGCACCGGGGTCTGATCGTGATCCCTTCACAGGCAGATGCTGCTGTATTCCCAGGAAGTAGAGGAAGACTACAACCCTTGTGAAGAGGACCTCTTTGTGCTGTAAGTCAGCCCAGGGCAGCGGTTGTGGGGCCTCCCTGAGGATCCTCCCGTGTCACCTGCTGCAGTCCAGGCATGTCCTTTATTGCTGCCCAGGGCACTTAGAGCTGGGCTCCATACAGAGCCAGCCCCGAGCCCCGAAATGCCATTAGGGGCGCCCAGGGAGTTAGGAAGCAGGGGAAGGTTGTTAAGAGACAGCAAGTGTCCTGGTGTTGGTGTTTCTGTTGGGCATTTACATCCAGACGTCCACTGTGCAGAAGCCCTGTCTGTCCCTCAGGATTCAGGGGCTTCTCATCCATTGCTGCCTTTGAGTAGAGCGGTTCCTTGCACTGAGTATTATGGGATAATCTGAAAATTTAACTCTTGAACCTAATGAAATCTCATTCCCCCAGATCTGTTGGTGGTCGGGGCAGGAGCCATGGCCCTTGTACTTCACAGCATTGATTTCATTCATAAGCAGCTGTGTGAATAGTACTTAGCGATAAGAACAGAACTGTAATTGAAATGGAAACAATCCTCCCAGCTTCCTGATGGGTCTCCCCACCCCATGTCCTGGGATGGCGAGGGGGGAGTAACACTTGCCCTTAGAACCATGCCTGGCTTTGATGTTGAAAACGTAGTGTTGACATTTCCATAAAGGTGCAGTACTTTGGTTTTAAAAGTGTACTTTCTAATGTGTACATGCTATTTAGATGTAGAAATATTTGGGAATTGGGCAGAGAGCCAGCGGTCTCACCAAGGTTGGACACATTCTATTGTCCTTGAAACTGCTGAGCATCCGGGGCTCTGGGCACTGGGCGCCTCTGCTGAATCCGCCTTTGATAGCTCTGTGGAACACAATGGAAAAGTCTAGACAGTTAATGCCTTTTCTGAATATGGTTCATATATTCATGTAGTACTATAAATCAGTGACAGTTAAATCATGCTCTGTACATAACTTTCCATAAAGTAATCAAAGGAAAACACTCAAGGATGATGGTGAGCTGTGGCAGTGTTGGGGCCTCCAGCTTGGCCTCCGTGTCTCTTTGCCCTTGACTTCCAGCCTTGCTGGCCTCAGAGCATCCGGTGCCTGCCCAGGCCCTCTGAGCTCCATCTTTCCTGTGTGGACGGTCACTTGTCAGCCTGTGTGCTGGCTCAGGGGCTGCAGAGCCGTCTCAGAGCCCTTCTCTCTCTGCAAGTCTCGCCTCCCGCACTTTAATGACCTATCAGGGCTTTAAAGATGAGTTTCAGTTTCTCAGTTTAACCTCAGAACTGCATTATCAGCTTTTTTTTTTTTTTTTTTTTAACTTCCCTTAGGACTAAGCAGAAAGAGAAGAACGCAGTTATTATGGGAGCCTCTCCCTGAGGCTGTGTTTAAACCCCTCAGAACCTCTCAACAGGGAAATAGAAATAGGTTTTTGGCAGTCAGGCCATCGCTAATCATACTATGATTAATGCCAGTGGTTTCTTTGCTACCTCAGTAGCACTTTAATAATCCTTTCATTTTACTTTGATCCTGTTTTCTTCTTTGAAAAGATATTTTTGACTTTTGAAACCATTTAAAAGCATATTAAACAAAACAGTATAGCTTTGGCTCCTTGTGTGTGGATTATTTGGTGAGATTTTTTGTCTTTTCTGCCCTCCCTTTCCTGTGTCTTGCGAATGCAGGTTTTTCCTAGAACAGAACAACCGGATATTTCAGACTTTGCTGGAGGTGTCTGCCAGTCAAGACAAAACTCTGACTGCCGAGCATGCCCGAGGCATGGGCTTGGACCCCCAGGGAGACCGGAGCTTTCTCATGGACCTGCTGGAGGCCTATGGCATTGACGTCATGTTGGTCATTGACAACCCCTGTTGCCCATAGGAAGAGTGAGCCCAGACTGGTGAGCCACTCCCATGTGGGGACTTCATCCCGGGCCCCAGAGGGCTTCCTTTTTTATTAAGTTGACATAGAGGAATATTGTTTACACTTTCCAACAAATATAATTTTTGCAATCTCCTTTCTTCCCTTCCTCCCTAGAGGTCAGATGAGATCACCTTGGTTCTGTGTCCTGCTTTGCTAGGACGTTGGAATATACCACTTTCTCCCGGAGCTGCTTCCTGGTTTGGTCTTAGGAGTTTTCAAAATAGATTCTCTCATCTCCTTGTTGAGTGACTTGAGGGGATGTGGCGAAGACCATGCATCACTAGAAGCAGGCCGAGCTCTGGAAACCCTGGGGTGGACTGTTCAGAAAGTCTGTATGGTCTGTGTCCCTTGATGTACTCAAGAATGAGAAGTCTGTCTGTCCCATGTACCCTTGGACGTTCATCTGCCTGAGGCGGAAGCTAGACCAGATGACCTTTCAAGGTTTTTATTAGTTCTGGGAGTCCAGTCTTGGGATCAAATCCCTTTTCCTGTTTATTCGGGCAAATCTATGTCTTCTCTGTTCACATGAGTAGAGACCTCAAAGAGGGACTAAAAGATGTTTTTGACACCAAGTATGAGCTTCTTTAAGGACAGGATGACAGGGAGAAGTTGCTTACCAGTCAGCTGAAAACTAAAATTATAGAATGAGGCCTTGAAACTTTCCTCAAAGTAAGTTAATGGTGGCCACTCAATATTCCTGTTTCTGTGAATCACCTCCTCTTGGAATGGGTTGGTGAATTCTTAAGGGCCAGTGCTGGCCCTGGAGCTTGCAAGCAAATTCCTTTTACAATTTAGTCTCCTTTAAGGGCTAACTGTCCTCTTGGAGTAATTTGAGTATTTTTAAACAGTAGCATTTGTTGCCACCAAAGGTAGAGCAGTTGAGGTTCAAGCAGGATAGAGATGAAGATGTTTCTTTACCTGGATGAGAGTTCTCTGAAGGCGTTACCTGCAGAGCCTCTGGATCGAAACAGATTCACTACATTCCGTAATCTAGCAAGGGTCTGAATTGGTGAACCCAGGGGTTGGAGCATGTTAAGACTGTGGACCAGTCTGGAGCCCTCACAAACAAACTTCTCTTCAGCAGAGATGACATTCCTTGAGCTCAGTAATTGGAGCCAGAGACGTAACAGATCCCTTAGAGAGCAAATTTGACAGTCCCTTCACCCAGGAGTGGTCAGGAACCCTGAGTGTCAGTGAAGCATTTTTCTGCTTCCTCTGAAATGCTTTGGTCTGGGCAGCTCCTGCCAGTCTGTCTGTCCTCTTTGGCTGGGTGTTGGATGGATGCCAGCTTAGTGAGACAGCAGTTATTTGTAAACCATAGGGAGCCAGCTCCTGTGAGTAGAGTTTAGCTCTTTTGGGCCATAATTTAGGATTTTGACTTGGGATACTGGGTTGTTGGTAACAATTAATTTCTTCCCCTTCACCCGTCCTGCCCTGCTCTACTATTGGAATAGCCACCAATGTATCCATGTCTTTGACCAAGTTCTAGCCAGGCTAATGTACACAGCAGAGAGAAATAACTTTCAAATGGATGGGTCACATGTCTTATCTCAAGACTAGGTTTTTAGAGCTTACTGCTTTATTCAAAACTATATTCATTGTGGCTCCTTGATATGGAATTCAAGACTAAAGAAATGCAGTGTGGAAATGCAAACAGACATTGATTAATCAAGGTAACATCTTTTATGTAAATACATAAATAAGTTTGGGCATTAAAATGTAAACTGTACAACTAATACATTTTTCTCCTCTGCAGTGTGGGTTTAGCCATCATTGCAGTAATATATATGTTTACAAAGGGAAAAAAGCTGTTTAAGAAGCTGAAGCTTCACTACCTTTTTCCTTGAAGAGCAACTTGCTCCTCTCGCCTCTCGAGAAGGAGCAGCCTTTCGAACTTGGGTCAAGTAAGGTTACTTTTAGTGCCTCAAGGTTCAAGGTCTTTCAAGTAGAGGGGTAGGAGGTGAGAGGCAGGGGAAGGGGTGAAAGGAAAGGTCAGATTCTCTTGGAGGACACAGGCAGACCCTCTCTGTGGAATCGGGGAATTTGTCAGAATACTCTTTTTAAGCACTTTTGCTCTAGTCTTTCTGCATGCGACCACTTCTGTTCTGTGGTCTTGTAACTTCCAGCTCAGAAGTGCTGATGTAAAGGTAGGAGTGAAAATGAGGTTCTTGAATTTCCCTTTGAATGGTGGCTCAGGGGTCCTGGGCTCCTTTTAACTCCATACTGTTGTAGGCAGCTGTCTGTCTGGCATCTCTGTGTGTTCCCCTCACACACTGCAGAGGGCTGGGGTCTGGGTGCCCCAGAGGGGAATGTACCTGTGAGGCAGTGCCATATCGTAGGTCATATGGAGCCTGGGCTCAGCTGACCCCAAAGCAGAATTTATCCCCTCCCTCCCTGTATTCCTTTTAAGAGGGAACCCAAGGAATCAGTCCTTCCCTACATTGCCAGCTTCCTCGTGGGACCAGAACTCGTGCAGCGCCACCTCTGCTTGGCCAGACAGCATGCTCGCTGGCTGTTGGTTACCTTTGTCACTGTCTATCACCCCTGAGTATTTCTTGCCTGGATTGTGATATGGAGCCTCTTGCTTCCGAGGTCACCTTTTGAAGGCTTGCTTTGTACCTGACTCTGCTCTTGCCCGTCAACCTTCTCCCCAGTATCTCAAGTGAGCTGCACAAGCCAGCATCATTTGCTGCCACTTCTCTAAAAGGGGAATTAGTTTGTGAAGTACCAGGCAGGAATCTTTGCAGAGTGACAGCTGAAGCTAGAAGCCACACGGACCTGCTTTTCTGTCACTGTTGAAACATTTTCTGAGAAACCATCTGCTTTTGTTTGGAAGACATTGGTGAATGTCCTTCTTCCTCCCTTCTAGGTCTGTAAGCTGTGTATTACCATTGACCATTATTACCACTGACCTTTTGAAGCAAGGTTGGAAACCTTGACTGACAGTGGCCTTCTGCCCCTCTCTCATGGGACCTCATTCCCTCTTGCCTGAGCTGGCTTGATCCTTCTGGGGAACTTTAAGCCCAGTCTAGTGCCACGCTATGAGCCATGTGCTAACCATTGGTGGTGACCTGAGACACCTGAGGCTGCCTTGTCATCCCTGAATCAGAAGAAATTCCAGCTGGCAAGATTCCTTATGGGCCTGAAGTCCTGGCTTGGGGTTTGTTGATGTCTAGTAAAACATGACAAAGGCCTGTTAAAGTAGATTTTTTCAATTGTGCAGGCTTGGCAGATGGTAATATTCAGCCTTGGGGACAATGGCCAGTTGTGCTCTGGCTTAGGACACTTTCTTTGGAAGGAATCAGATAGTAGGGCTTATTTCCTACCAGACCAAAAAGTATGGGCCAAATAATTTGTTTAGAATTAGCTTTGGCTTTTGTCAAGCCTGAAGCCCTCCTTGGCCTGCTGTGGGTCCATCCAGTGTAGCTGTCCACCTGGGTCCCTGTAGAGTCCTGTCAGTCACTACAGTGAATCAGAAGGCATTTGCCTCCCTCTCCATCATCCACTGTGACATCTCTTCTTCCATTTGGCTGGGAAACGGAAGCTGAACTCATTGATATATTGATAGAAATAATTAAGCATAGGAATTTGCATCTGTAACTTACCTTGTTTTGTTCCATATGAAAATCAAGGTGGGAAATTTAAGTGTAGCACAGGGTGCAGATAATTCTAAATACCACATGTGCAGACTCATTTATCAGTGTAACTACCTGTGATATTTCAGCTGGAAGATAAAGGTAAAGATAAATTAAATCCTAGCAGAATCACTATTTTTCATTCTGGTGGCTTTGAGGATGAACTTGGTATTTGTCTTGATACACTGAAAGCCCTTCAAACACAATAAAAAGATGAGATTATTCACCTTTAAACTGAGGCCCTTTTGTAAAGGGCAGTCATGAATTAAACTTTTAATGGTAGTACAGCAACTTTTTTTTTTTTTTTTTTTGTAATGAAATGGCGTAGCTTGGGGAATGGATTGAGATGCTTTCTCCAGTCCCAGTGCAGATCACCCCTGAGAGGAAAAGGAGGGCAAGGGTGTTGCTGAATAAAATTATAAGACAAAGTTCAGCTTGACAGTGAACTTTGTGATGACAGTTCTAAAACAGGCAAGAAAGTTAATATGGGGACCAAGATGTCATGTACTGGCTTTTATCTCCCTGTTAGGTTCCTCGCTAGTGGGCTTGGCATCCATGAAAAGTCTGGCCCTCAGACCTTTCCCCTGCCCCTCTCAGATCTGCCCTGTCCCCCGCGGTGAGGATCCTGCACACCCAGAGGCTTACTTTGGCAGGCCCAGTCCTGGCCCGTCTCATTTCAGGAGAACCCTGTTCTGATTCAGGTAGGGGAGGAGAAGGAGTGGAGGGCTTCTTTTACTCCCAAGTCATGGATTTTTAATATTCCATTTTTGTTACTAATATACCTCTGTTCCCAGGAGCTATTGGAGCGCTGAGTGTTGTGGGAAAAGGCTAACTGTGAATTAAGTTAATGTTTTTCTTAAAAGAAATGGAAGTTTATTTTTATATTGCAATTACTGTGTGATGAATTGAGTATGCAGATGTTGAAATGGAAGGAGATTTCAAAACTGTAATCCTAGAAGAAATGGGCAGTTTTGGAATTTGGAAGCAACTGAGACCCCATTAAAGTTTTATTAGTTAAATACTTTGGAGAGTGAATAAGGAGACTATGCTGTGAAATCCTAACAGCACTCTTGAGGAGATAAACTTGACAGTCCTAGGAAGGATGATATACCGTCACCAACTTTAAGTAAAATTCTTGGACAAAAGCGGGTAAATGTGATCATGCTGATTGTTAGTCCTTTTAACTGGTAGGAGTGGGTGGTAGTTTTATAACTGGCACTTTAATTCGTTTTTGGAGCTGGAATACAGGGGCAGTTGGATGAAACTGCACATTTAAAAAGGAAATAAGAATTTTCTAGTGCTGTATAAAAAAATGATGATGGAGAGCTAAAACCGTGCTTTTTCATCTCTTTAGAGTTTATTCTAGAAGCTCAGTATACCATGGGCTTTTAGAGGTAATAGGATCTAAACTCAGAAAATTTATTTAATTTACCATAGTAGAAGGATAAATGTGAATTCCTTGTTGGCTGTAGAATCCCTGTTTAGAGTAACGATACATTTTCTTTGCTGTCAAAGGACAGCTGAGGAATGTGGGGGTGGGCTAGGGTATTATAAATTAGCCAGGGAGGATCTACAAAGTGAAAAATCCACACCGAGGTCACTGAGTTAGCTGATTGCTAATATATTTGACATTAGAGTAAAAATTGCCTTTGGCCAAATTAAGCAAAGATAAAAGTATAAAAAAATTTTGAGGGGCCAGCCCCATGGCGTAGTGGGTAAGTGCACGCGCTCCGCTGCTGGCGGCCCGGGTTTGGATCCCAGGCGCGCACCGACACACTGCTTGTCAGGCCATGCTGTGGCGGCACCCCACATAAAGTGGAGGAAGATGGGCACAGATGTTAGCCCAGGGCCAGTCTTCCTCAGCAAAAAGAGGAGGATTGGCATGGATGTTAGCTCAGGGCTGATCTTCCTCACACAAAAAAACAATAATAATAATTTTGAAGCCAGCATAGGGAAAAGGGTTTCAGTCCAGCGTGCCCACGAAGACTGGAAGTGAGGGAAGTGTAGACTCTGGGCTTTTTAACAGACTGGGTAGGAGATATTAGAGGTGTAGAGTAAACAAAATTAACCTCCTTACTTACCCCATGCTTCTTGGCTAAATTTTTTATAGGTTTGGGAAATAAACCTTTTCTGAAAAAGAAAATAGTTGTAGCCTTGGAAAACAGTTTTCCTAATTTTTCCGAGTTA